TGACCGCTCAGTTTCCGAAGCGAAGGTTGATGCTGTTCCACCTGTTCGACCACTCTTGCTACATCACTTGATGGCACCACACTCTGGACCGGTAGGAAGACAAACAGCGACGCTCAGAGAGCGCTGCGCAAAGTCCCAGGTCTTCAAAGTGCGGCCGGCACTGGCCAACCAGGCAGCAATATGCTGCAGTTCCATCGAAGTGAAGCAGTGAAGTTGATGTTTTTCCACCTGTCTTGTTTAGTGGGGAAACCAATTCCCCAAAAGAGGTTAAGACTTTTCCACTGACGGAGTAGGCAAGAGTTGAAACTTCTCAACGAATTCACAAGGCGAACTCCTACAAATGATGGAAGGGAATTCGATTGGCTCATCTCTGAAGGCCACCATCAAAGCCAACGACTGGTATACAGCGACTGTTGCAAAGGTATTTCAAGAAATCTATAACAGAAGCGTATCGAAGCCATGTAAAACCATGTCTCAAAAGAACATCTTTATAATTCTACAGTTTATCATTTCTTCCACCTCTGGCTCGTCGTCTTGCCTTTTTCCACCTCTTTCTCCAAAGAGCTTTGCTGTGAGGAGTTCTCAATTCTTGCACAGAAACGGGCCCAGGATCCGGATGCTGGGCTGAGATGGTTCTGCTTTGTCTCCCTTCGTTTCCCTTTGGCTCTTGGGTGATCGGGCAGTGATGATTCGCTTTTGTCTTCCTGGAAGTCTCGCTTTTTCTTTGGCTCAAAGAGCTGGTGGCAAACACTTTCAGACTTCGCTGAAAACGAGAAACCGGCGCCCGTGCTGCGCTGCTTCGGGGTCGATGCAAACGTGGCATTGTTGGCCCGTTAAGCTGCCTCTCCCGTCCCCGACACCTCTCTGGGTCTCCCAGGCCACGACATTGGCCTTGAGTCGTCGGATGAACTCTGAGGTCTGGTTGTAGTCCTCCCAAAGATGGCCCCAACCCCTCCCCCGGCCCTGGGCTGAGAGAGAATTACTCAATCCTAGCAATGGGCAACCTGCTAGCGGCCTGGGCTCCATCCGAATAGGGCTCTTTTCGTCATGGCACCCTACACCGCCCCAAGCCTCGGTGCCATGTCTGCCATGTCTGCCGTGGGAAAAACCAGGAGCTACCGGGAACGCTCCGCACCCCTGGATGACCTTGGTAGAGACGATAGCGGTCAGGAGAGTCCTTCTTTTCCAGTCGGTCCACGTTTTCCCGAATCCGGGCCCGAAGCAGCACATAGGGTTTGGTTCGGGTCGGACCCCTGTGTTTCGGTGTTGGGTCCGACCACTGCCAAACTGCCCGGATTCTTAGGGGTTGGTTGTAAAGACAACCACCTCTTTGATTTCGACGCTACTAGGAACAAAAGGCATCGCTACGAACGGAGCGATCGTACGCTACTAGGGGCTCCTGGCCGTACTACTAGTAACAAGAACGCTACTAGTAGCAAGGACGCTACTAGGGGCTCCTGGCCGTACTACTAGTAACAAGAACGCTACTAGTAGCAAGGACGCTACTAGGGGCTCCTGGCCATACTACTAGTAACAAGAAGCTACTAGGAGCTTTTTCGCAGCAAACAAACATTTCAAGCCTCCGGCTCCACGCTCGACCGGCTCGACGTCCGTGCAGACTCACAGTCCGAATGGGCGGAGAAGGACATGAACTTCACGGTGGCCTTGACGTTCACCTGGCGCCAAAGGGCGCCATGCACAGGGAAGACCTACTCTCCTTTGGGGGAAGAGAGGTGGGGGCTGTTGAAAGGCCGGGGCGGGAGGTGTTTCAGGGCGAGTTGGACTGTAGGAAGAGGGTGAGTCTGACACTACCAAGCATTTGTTTGACTTTGTGGACTGCCCAGCAGTTCCCTCCCGGAATGACCCCATCCGATGTAGACAGATCAGGGGGTGGTTGACTCAGGGGGTTCCTTTAGGTACAATATTCCTATACATTGACATCCTTCTAAGTCCAATAGACATTATCTTTTTGTCTTTGCACCACTGAAGCAAAGGACATTCCGAAACTCGGTTCACCTACCTAGTCAAATTGGACTCGGAATGTTTGGTACTCGAGGTGCACCTTAGTCCGATTGGATCCCTTCGTCTCCCAAGCGCTCCAGTACTTGGATTGTTCAGGAGCCGGCAAAAGCATCTTCCCCAGGAGATCAGGGATTCACCCAGGAACCGGGAAAAAATAGACATCACCTATCATCACCTGAACATCAACAACCCAAAAGTTATGCTATTTGTGATGCCAACCTGATGGCGCCATCACTTTCGCGTCGTCCAACCGGCTCCTTGAGCGAAGCAAATTGGTTTCACCGCCCGACTTGGGTAGGCTTTTCATGGGCTGCAAGGCGCGCGGCGAACCCTGCAAAAGTGGCTCACCCATGTCATTGGGCGGAAGAACACCATTCACGATGGATTTTACATTGATTTGACACTACAAAACCAAACCGAACTCGAATGGTTTTCTCGGAAGGAGTTACTTCAACCACTTCGACGGAGTCGTTCCCAACCCTCGAAGAGACCGGTCCATCGCATTGACATGGGCGATGTCGGATTTGGTTGGTTGGAGGCCATCGCTATTAGAAACAAAGAAAAACGAAAAGGAAGACAGGCCTTAACGAAAATCTCGGACTTCCCCGCGGTTTTTCGGGGGTCCCAGTTCGTCGGTTCCGGCCCCGCACCTTGCGTCCATCATTCAGGGTCACGCTTTCCTGCTGCAAGGAGATCAGCGGTCAGTCGTACGGCGCAGTCAGCCGTGCAAAGAAAGGCTTTGATCTGTCCTTCCATTTTTCATATTTAGTCTGATGTGATTCAACATCACATTCAAAGACATTGACCGAGCACTGAGCATATGATCTTTCTCCAAAGATTCACTGCAACCAAACCAATGCTTTCATCTTACATTTGACCAAAAGAAGGCATCCTCAGTGAAGACACATGGCTATGGATCAAAGCCCGGGCAGCCTGGTTGACCCCTGAGAATGGAGAAATCCCACTGGAAAACACACACACACACACCCATATAACGTTCTTTTCTGTTATTGTACGGGATGTGAACGTGGTTTGGTGAGGTTTTGACTCACAGCCACAGGTAGCTAGCCTGATGTAGCTGGCTGGGGCAACTGTACCAAAGACCTGTAGAATGCTGGGGTTCCCTCAGGGGAGGCGCTTTTCCCAAACAGCTGCATTATTCCTCCCAGGGAATCCATTCGACTGAACTATTGACCAATCACTTGGGGGTGCTTTGTGATGGGTCCCATCCGCTGCGAGTAACGAGCGTGCATCGCTACTGGTAACTAAGAAGCTACGAACGTTACACCATTATCGTCCTAGCACAGCAATGACTTTCTCCTTTCATTTGACCTCTTTGTGGGAACGATCCGGCTCCACGACGCTTCCCGCGGCTCCACTGCCGAGGGACGGGATCGCCCTTGAGCTCGTGCGCCAGGGTGCCACCCACCGAGTAACCCGTCAGAATGACGCCGTTCCTCCGGGCCGGAGCTGGAGACGTTTCGGCGGAGCTGGGGTGCGGAAGGGTCTCCCGGAGGGGAGGGAAAGACAGCAGATGTTTGGAAGCAAAGCTCATGTTTGGAGCGTGGCAGAAGGATTTTGCATACCCTAAGGAGTCAAAGACAATGAAACGAATGGTCTAACTGGACTTCTAGGGCATACTCATTCTTTATAAGACTTTAATTCAGGTGGCGGTTGACGAATGCTCAATATGTCGTGCACATTTTTAACACTGATCGCCTTTCCATGCGACACGGGCCAACACCCCCCCCGTTGTTCAACGACACCCCGACAAGCACTGGACATCGCCAAAACCATCGGTGTGGACCGGGCCCCTAGTAGCGTTCTTGTTCTTAGTAGCGATGCCCTTTGTTACTAGTAGCGTCCGAACGCTCCTAGTAGTAAGGCCAGGAGCCCCTCGCGTTCTTGTTCCTAGTAGGTGACTCAGGCCGCTGCTTCTTCTCAGGTGCCCAGGATTCAAAGAGCTCTCGACTGGCGCCGCTCTGGAGCATTCCTTGGCATGTCGGAGGGCCACCAGCGCCGGGGGGAACAAAGGACAAAGAAGAAATGCTTGGTGTAGATAGGGGTTGGTTAGCGATTGAAAGCATCAATCACATCACCTATACACTTGGGATGCCAAAAATAACAATGCGAACGATCTCACAGGGCCCAAGGGAGACCTGCAAAGCTCAGTGGCCTACCTTCTGCGTGAATTGGTAGCCGACAAAAGCAATCCTTTAGGCTTGAGGCGTGTGAAATAAGCCAAAAACAATGAGCTGACCATCGATGCGAACATCTCTTGAAGACAACGACATTTTGCAGAAAGATTCAAGCCCTCCCTGGTTGCTGGAAGTGGATGATTCTGGAGGCACCTGAACTACGACTCCTCCAGATGGTTGGAACAAACATGAACAACCACACATTCTTTGACACCATAATGAAACCAACCTGAACTCTGGTTCGTCCGGTCTCTCCCAAAATGCTCTCAACCCAAGAACCTGCTCAGCATGCGTGTCACCACCCACCGTCCACCGTCCACTCGATGTGGTGTCACCGCGCGGCCGGGGGCAGCCAGCACCACGCAGGCGCCAATTTCGTTCTCCAACTGAGCGAAGGTATGCCTCCACATGGAGCGTTCGGTTGAAGGCCATCCCTACTATGGGTGGAGGCCAATTCTGTTAGGCTCCTTATGCTAGAAGGTTGGAGGCCATGGCTACTAGGTTGGAGGCCATCGCTAGTAGGTTTCCTTTTGCTATGTGCCCTATTGCTACTCTTCGCCCTTTCCTAGGGCGCCGAGTTCGTTCTCCACACGGAGACCCCCGGGGGAAAGCGAGCGGCCTCGAGACACGGCCAAAGAGACACCATGAGAGGCGGCCACGCAGAAGCGAGGTCGGCGGAAAGGGGGAAAGGCAGGTGTTGGTGTTTTGGCTCCGTAGCCTGAGGGTGTTTTGGTCTTTTTGCAAGAAATTACATATTCAATAGAACTACAAAAGACATGTCGTCTTCAATCTGCTACATGTCCTTTTCCAATCGAAACGATCTTCAAACATCGCCCCCAAACGTCCACCGACGCCCACGGCTTCGTCAGACGTGTTCTCTTGCCATTCAACTGACTTTAGACACTTCAAGGTATCAGATCTGGCTTACCCCGAGTGTCGAACCGGGCTTGATCGGATACCGAAAGCAAAAGGCGACTGACATCGGATGAAGTGAACCTCATCTATCGGGAGTCGACCGCTTTCTGCACCAGTCGAGTCACCGGTCTGGGCAACCACTCTGCCGTCTGCTGTCGAGTCTGCTGTCGAAAAATCCGATAGTAGACAGACATGAGAAGTGCATCGTCAGATTCTCCGAGAGTCCTCTCGTACCAGCTTCTTGTCCTCGAGCTGCAGCATCTTCATGCGGATCTTGTGGATCAGCTCGCTACGAACGGAGCAAGGACGCTACTAGGAACTCCTGGCATCGCTACGAACGGAGCAAGAAGCTACTAGGAGCAAAGGGCATTGCTACGAACGGAGCGATCGGACGCTACTACATCTTCATGGCCGCCATCGAGCCAAACGATGCCAAGTTGTTCGTCTCAGACGAAGCCAGGAGGACGGTTGGATGATTTCGGCCATGGCGGCCCTCACGGTGTGTGAAGTGTCAGAATACCCATGAACACACCCATGAGAAAAGGTCCCTGAGGAGGTATTCGAGAAAAAACACCGAGAAAAACACCACCGAACAGCACCAGCGCCGCGCTCCGTGGCAAAATGGAGATGAGTAGTCTACTTCCTGTGGTGACAAGACAATCCTAGACTCCTAGACTAGTAAGAGCCCTCCCGGAAAGGACGCCCTGTAAGGAAAGGAAACGCAGGTCATGTAACTCTTCGTGCTCAGGTCCAACCTCTTTCAGGTCCTCTTCAGACCCCCGGGCCTGTCTGGCATGTTCTGGATGTACTTCAGGATCCAGGGGTTGTTACATCGATTCGCCTGCCGCCAACGGGTCGTACAGCAAGCAACCCTCCGCCGATTTCGGCTCGTAAGAAACACCCGTCCAGCGGTTGAGCCACTTGAGGTCCCTCAATCGTCGATTCGAAGAGCCACTTGAGGTCCTTTCCGCATGTCCCAGCGGGTCATCGACCGGTGTCCAACACACCCATATCGAAGCAACGGAAGGATTTTGCTCTCCAGGAAGGTGGAGGAACAGAACAATAATGTAGACTCTTGATTAATACCCCCCCATATGAAGAGGTGTTTTGCGATGCGTAGAAGAGGTGTTTCTATTCAATTGGAGTCTACATTCAACACGTCTAAACGGCGGATGGTCTGAAACGGTGATTTGGACCGAACACGTGGTGATTTCATCACCCGCCGCATACCCATGTTTATGTGTCTTATGTTTACAGGCATGAAACCGATCAAAGATCGGGGTGACCTGGTCAAGAATCGAGAAGATGCCAGATGCAAGCTTCCATGATTTAGACTCTAGACGCGAGAGTGGTTTGTTCAAATGTTTTGTCGAGTCAATGTATATGATCAATGGATTCAAGGAGAACTGACCAGGACAGGGCATTGGAGGTGACAATTCCACCGAAAAAAGGTCAATGGCTACAACATGCTACAGTACAACCACACAAACCCTTGATCAGGAACTTCCAAAGTGCAACAACATGTGAACATCAAGCTAGTTTGTGGTTTCAACTCAAGCGACAAAAACTAGATTTTGCCAATGGGATCCATCTTTTAAAGGTTGAACATCAAAATACCTGAGACCACCATGCAGTGCAGTAAGAGAAAGCAACCCTTGAGAAGCTTCGGCAAGCGGGAGACGCCCGGAACACCCATCCAAATCAAAACAAACATGGACCAGGACAGGGCGGAGGTGTGTTGTGATTGCCAGTGGCTCTTGTGAAGCTGTTTTCTCCGGAATGGGCACCCAGCGGGTGCACCGGTGGTTTTACACGTCAAGTGACGAGTCAATGGTCAGACTGTTCAGAAAACCGTGGAAGGCAAGGACTTGGTGTGTGTTCCGTGGGATTTTGGCCACGGAAGAAGCTTCTGACTTGAAAAACGAGCCTTTCTGACTTGACGTTTCCAAGTTGAGGACCTAAGTTCATGCACCAACGTGGACATACACCATTTCTGACTCGGGGACCTGAGAGTTCATCGCAAGCGACTCCTTTTTGCTTTCTGGCTCACACACACACAACATGTCGCACGATGGGGAAACTGCCCGGCACTCTGTGGGGACATGTGAGGAAACAATGCTCCTGCTTTTCACTTGAAGGAATTTCTGTGACATTCCAGTGACACGTCCCATGGCCTGCTTTCAACCCATGCTCCAGTTCCTGGCTTTCAAAGGATTGGCCTCACCACTTGAGGGCCAAAGGAGTTGTGAGTCCGACTTGATGCATCCGTGCTTGGAACGTGCTTGGAACCGAGGGAGGATGCACGTCATGATGCAAACTGTTTCGAAGGGACGGAGTCTTTGACCTTCGAACGCGTCCGATCGTAGCATCCGAACCCTCCGGACAAGGAGCGATGCCCCTGCCAGTGACGTTCGTAGCGAACCTTGTTCCTCATAGTGCCAGGAGCTACTATAATTAGCACTTGTTACTACTAGCTTCTTGTTACTACCAGTAAGGCACTTGTTACTAGAAGCGATGCACTTGTTACTACTAGCTTAAGATGTAGTTGTGTTCGAAACAGCATGTCATCCGAGTCATCCTTCGAACTTGCCCATGTCTTTCTCCATCGAACTTGCCCCCTGCTAACGAGCCAAACACTGTCAAACACTTGGCATATTCCCAATCTCCGATTCGACCTCCTCGTCCGATTCAGGACATTCAGGATCTCTTCCGAGGACGATTCCAAAGGCCCTCAGGTGCTGCAGAGCAGAAGGAATAAGCCTCGACACACGGTGCACATTCTGCACATATGCTCTCTTGGCAGGGGCTGATAGCCGGGAGGCCAATTCACAGAATGTTCCCACCTGTACATCCTGAGCTCTCCTTCGATCTCAACATGAATCGTGGCACCACTCCCGGTGTCCACCGGGACCGCGTCCGCTGCATGCGCGCACCACTGGTCTTGTAGCATGCAACCACTGCACGGCACGGAACTACCCGCGACAGCATCACGGTCTCTAAGCCAAAGGCCCCATAGCCCATCCGGAAACATCAACGAAAAGTAACCCCCGTGTTCGGGGAGACTCACTCTACTGCCCCCTACTCTTTTGGGTGCTTGAGCACAAAGCTGCAGTACAAGAACATGTCTTTTGCAAATGACTGTGGCTTCTGCATTTAGTTTCTGGAAACCGGAGATCCGCATAGGCTCGGATCACACGCTGTGAAAACGCAAATGAACACTTCCCCATTCGCCCGAAGCGATCCTGCTCTTGAACTGAGAGGCTGCACATGTTGGTGTACGTCCTGAGTGTGTTCAGCGCAGCTGGGCGCAGCCGGACACAGAAACTCCACGTAACTCATTTGGAACTGACATATTTAGAAACAAGGACGCTACTAGGAACAAGTGCCACGCTACTAGTAACAAGTGCCTTACTAGTAGTAACAAAAAGCTATTAGAAACAATAAGCTACTAGGAACAAGTATACCAGCACCTGAAGGGATCTCCAGAATACCCTACACGACTTGTGGATCTTTAAAGGTCCAGGTATATTACCCTAGGTGTCGAACCACTGTTAATTTGGTCTTTACCGAACCACCGTTGTTTTACTAAGGATTCTACACTGCAAGTCTAGGTCCACCGATTTTAGAATTATCTTGGACTTCCATAGTATCAATATATGCCTTCATTGACCACGTGTAATTGATCGATTGATGAGTATTCCAGTGTGATGTATTGCTGGGGATATGTTATGTTCGCTGCAAAACATGAAAAAAACACTCTTTCCTTGAACTGCTGGTGTGGTAATAGATCTGAATCATGCAGAATCTATCTGTTCGCTAGGCTTCGATCTGATCCAACTACCAGTGATTTCATGGTGTTTCCCGGACAAACTCCGTTTAATGGAATTGTAGAGAAAAACAATCATGCCAACCTTTGTAACCTGGAAGGCTATTCTTTTGGGGTTCTGGTTGGCGTTTTAAACGAACGAACCTCCTAGAGAATAGACGGCTGATCGCTCAATCAACAGTTCGACCACTCTTGCAGTACATATTCTCTATTGTCCTTATTGTCCTTAAAGGATCCTGTTCCTTCAATTCTTGTGAGCACCCGAAACACACCAGCTCTCACAGACCTATCATGTTTTGGGCTTAAAAAACTAAAAACTACTATCCTGAATGGCTTCTTCAACAGCTACCACCTCCACAGAAACTTCCTGCGTCCAAACAATGTATCTCGCCAAGCAGCTCGAAAATGCGCAAACATTTGGTGGCCATGGGAGAGTTGTAAAAAATGGGGATCTCATGCAAGTCGGAGTTCCGTTCCTCAGCGTAAGAACGACAGGGACGCAAGGGCTTTCTTCATCCCCTTTTTCTCCAACCACCCTTCTCTTTGGAGAAACTGGGGTGGCAACGTGACACACGTTTCTCTCCCCGCAACAGTGAAAAAAACCTGGTGGGTTGGCAGTCACCTCTTGGTGTGCTTTGGAGGCGTTGAGAGAGAGGCCATATAGTCTTATCGCCTGTGTTCTGGACAAGGAATAGAATAGATCGTGTTGCCTCTGCTCTGCCATGAAGGTGGTATCTGTTCTGGGGAAACGGTTTCAAACATCTGCGCAGAGTAGGCAGCAAACTCTCAAGTGCCTGTTAAAAAAATACACCACCGTAGCCGTAGACCCCAAAAAGGTGGGACAACAACGAAGCATTCCCAAGTCCACTTTTTGAGACATCAACAAGAAGGGAGACAAGAAAGAAGACAAAAGGAAACAGAAGGGAGACAAGACGGACACAGTGCCCAACAAGAAGGGAGACAAGAGGAAACAGAGGGGAGACAAGACAAACACAATCACCAACAAGAAGGCAGGCAAGAAGGGAGACAAAAGGAAACAGAAGAAAGACAACACGTGACCCAACAAGAAGAGAGACAAGACCGGACACAAAGGGAGACAGAAGGGAGACAAGACGGACACAGTGACCAACAAGAAGGGAGACAAAAGGGAGACAAGGCGGACACAGTGACCAACAAGAAGGGGGACAAAGGGAGGCAAGCCAGACGGAAGGCGGACACGCTGTCCCGTAGGCGGACACTCCTAGAAAGCCTTGAGAACCCCTAACGGTAACCTGTTTGGGGAAGTGCAGAAATCACAGGGGAAACAAATGAGTAGAAATGCTGTATGGCCAGCGGAAAAGGGCGGACACCAGCAGTGCACGCACTGAGCCTGGGAGACAAAAGCAAATCACTTTCGAAATGCTACATGGCCAACGGAAAAGGGCGGACACCAGCTGCGACAGACTTGGGATACAAATGAATTGAATAGAAATGCTACATGGCCAGCGGAAAAGGGCAGACACCACCAGCGGAAAAGGGCAGACACCACCATGACAGACCTGGGAGACAAGCGAAGAGAAATGCTGCATGGAGACCTGGGAGACATATGCATAGAAAATGCTGCGTGGCCAGCGGCAAAGCGGACACCAGTGACAGACCTGGGAGACAAATGAATAGAAATGCGGACACCGCCAGTGACAGACCTGGGTGACATATGCATAGAAATGCTACATGGCCAACGGAAAAGGGCGGAAATCAGCAGTGACAGACCTAGGAACAAATGAGTGGAAATGCGGAAACTGAGATCACTTTGCTTTGTCTCTCCTTGTCTGCCATGGCATGCCTGGATGCTGGGCTGAGATGATTTTGCTTTGTCTCCCTTTGTCTCCCCTCGTCTCCCACGGCGTGTCTGGATGCTGGGCTGAGATGACTTTGCTTTGTCTCCCCTTGTCTCCCATGGCGTGTCTGGATGCTGGGCTGGGGTCACTTTGCTTTGTCTCTCCTTGTCGCCCGTTCTCTCCCATGGCATGTCTGGGTGCTGTGCTGAGATGACTTTGCTTTGTCTCCCCTTGTCTCCCTTTGTCCCATGGCGTGTCTGGATGCTGGGCTGAAATGATTTTGCTTTGTCTCCCTTTGTCTCTCTTTGCCCCCCCTTGTCTCCCATGGCATGTCTGGATGCTGGGATGAGATGATTTTGCTTTGTCTTGCTTGCTGCTTGGTCTCGCTTTGTCTCCCCTTCTCTCCCGTGGCGTGTCTGGATGCTGGGCTGAGATCACTTTGCTTTGTCTCTCCTTGTCTCCCATGGCGTGTGGAAAACTCCGACTGCCGCTGCAGTTTGGGGTTGATGCTGGTGTAATTTGTTAACGCGTTGGAAGGTCCAGGCCATTCGTATACCAGCCCCGGATGAAACAAGACGGGCTAAATAATCCAAGCCAGGGGCATAACCTTACCCTTGGAGGGGCAGCGGCTGAGGAGGAAGCCCGGGACGGACCTGCAGCCAGGAGCTGGCCAGGAAGGGAGGCTGTCGTCGAGGTGGGCTGCGTGCTGGTCAAAGGGGGTGCTGGCTGCATGCGTCAGGAGAGCAAACCAGCGACAGTGGCCAGGCGTGGGGCGACAGGGGCTGCCTGTGCGGAGATGGAGAAAGTAGGCGCGTTCGGAACTCAAGCGAGAAGACGGTGTCTGTATGTAGTTCGGGGTTATAGGTGCGCTGGTTGGAGGAATGATGTCATGCACAGCGGCTGTGTGGTAGGCGCCGGCTCTGTGCTGATCCCAAAGCTCATTGAGCCAAAATGGTTACAGTAGCTTGTGTAATGAAACAGGACTTCAAGGAACTTGCATGGTCTTGAGCAAGGACAAGTCTTGGCAAGGGAAGCCAGAGACAACCAGGTCAACTGTCTCCACGACCCTGGCACTAGCTCATGCGCGTTGCTGAACAAGAGGGCCACATTGGGTTAGCGTGTTGTGCAAGCTTCCTGCGCTTGTTGCTGTCGACTTCAGCAAAATCCCGCGCAAATGAGGCAAGCGCAGTCTACGCCATTTCTTCTTATCAAGGCGAGCGGCCAAGCATGGGAACCCAAGGCCCCGAGACCTGCGCAAAGACCAAGGGTCAGGCTTGAGCGCCATTCGCGCAACATCCACGCCAGAACAGCTGAGTTTTGCAGGGTGCGCCGGTCCACGCGGGCATCTCCAGGGCTCACCTGTGAAGGAGGTGGGACATTGATGGTGGAAGGCACCTGACCATTAAGCCATGAGGACCCCAGGGCAAGGCTAATGAGCTCGGGGTGGAACGAATTGCCGGCAAAATTGCGGATGGTCCTATGCTTTTTGATAGAACGGAAGACTTGGCATAGACCAGAAATTTGGAGGACCTCTTGGTCTGTGAGGAATCGAAACGGGACAACAATGAATTCATTATGAAATAGGGGAAGTGCATCTTGCAAAGCAAAGTCCTTGCACAGGAGGAAGTTTTTCCACGATCGTAGGATCCAGTCGTTCAACCCTTAGGTGGTTTAGCCGCAGCCAAGAAAGCTTAGGGCACCACGGGCCCTTCAAACATGCTTTTATTTATTGCAATCTGCTGCCAAATGCAGGCACCGATTTGCAGCGTCGTTTCTCAAGATCCACCTGCCAAAACAAAAATCCACACACAAAAGATCGCGAACGAGATAATAGTGAAGCGTCAGGTGCATCGTAAAGAACAGTACACTTGCGGGTCCGCAGATGCCAAGTCGTCCTTGATCTCTGCCTGCAAAGGTGAGGTCTGTGCATGGGCTTCCACTGATGACAAAGATTTTGCAGCCTTCACAAAGAGCAACAAGTTCTCGAAGTAGGTGAGCATTATCGACAAAAGGGTGTCTACATCACTGATGGAGTGAGAGATAACCCCTTGTAGGCTGTAATGCCACTTGGGCATGCTGCAAGAACTCTTCTCCGGTGCGCTGGAGTCAACACACAAACGCGTGCAGCTGTGGAACGGCGGCCATCTTGTGTTGTACCCGTCTTTCGTCGGGCCTCCTTCACCAACGCAGGCACATGGGCCCCTGATCTGATGCTGATATTCTCTGTTCGGTGCGACATCTGGGTCTCTCTGCCTCCTCTGAATGTTGAACCAAAAGGTTTCCCGAGTTCCAAAAAAGAGTTCCGAAACGAGCGGTTCCCCTCAAAGTTCCAACCACCATGGATTTCCAGAGCATCCATGTCAATATGCCCTACGCTCACCACAAAAACCAATACTTGCGCCACCATGGATCCTCTATAATTTATACAGGAATATGGCCGAACTCGGAAGATTCTTTTAAGAAGGACTCTTGGGTGACCCTTGATGGTCCGACGGGAGTCGGTGGCTCCGGTGGCCCACATGTACAACACCAAGGGGATGGCTCGTGATCCTCTGTCCCGTTCAATCCGCCACGTTATAACAGGTTTAATCAGATCCTTTCAAACATGCAAAGATTGATCACTCACGTTTTCGATCGTGTTGTGAGCTGGCACTCCAATGGGCCTGGGCGTGGCCAGACTCCTCTGAGGCTCCGGGCCCAATAATCCTCCAAGATGAGGAGGATCTCCTATGTACGGGGCAGACAAAGAAGCCCTTTTTCACTGTTCACTGAAAGTATCTAAACAACGACATACATACACTTCGGACCTCAACTTCTTCATCACGAACCCACATCGACAAAATAAGACATGGTGCAAACTGAAGCGAAGGACGGAATCCTGGTCCCAGTAAGTTTTTGTAAGAGTCCAGGAGCCAAATCATTAGTCATTAGTGCAAGCGTGAGCTATCCTGCGTTCATATGTAGTAGCTTAAGTAGCCAGGAGCATACTCCCTTACTTAGCCAAGTAGGCGCCTACTGAATCAAGTATGGAGGCAGGGCCGCGAGCAAAAGAAGAACATTTTCTTCACTTCGAGTGACCCCTACCGTGACATTTTAATCATTTGTTTTCATGCCATGGTGCGGAGCGTGTTGCCATGGTCGTGAGTTTTGTGGTTTTCGATTTTGGTTGTGGGTCCTCGGGGTTGGGGCTTGTTATTTTAGTGTTAGGGAGTTCGCGTCCGGGTGTCGCCAGGGTCTCCAGTTGGCATCCAGAAGTGCTACCCTGTGACCACCTGCCACGCAAAATGCCACACACAAAGGTATTATTTTTGTAGTAGTTGTGCTTTTGTGGCTGTTTTTGAGTGTTGTCGTTGTGTGTTGTGTTTGTGGCTGTGGTTTTATGTTTGTGGTTATGTTGTGTGTTGTGTGCTGAGGTCCAAGACCCACTGCCATCTGGCGGAGGCGGAAGGAAGGGGAAGAGCTCTAATAAAATCTAACAACCCTCACCTGGCGGGAAAAAGGCAAAGAAAAAGGCTAGCCTTTGGATAGTGAGAGGCCTCAATCTCATCTCAGCTGCGACAGAGGTGTAGGAGTCTGACGTTGCGGGCCACATGTTCTGCCCCAAACCGTTTTGCTTCACCAACCCCACCCTGCTTCGGAGGGTTGAACCCCCAAGGTCTTCATGTTTTCAGGGGTTTCCCTCGTTGTCTGTGGCGGAAAAAACTGGAGATTGAGATGGCCGCGCTCGCATTTTTGGGGCTGAACAACCTTGAAACAAATAGCACTGCGGTGTAAAGAATACCAACACACACACACACACGCCATATATACCTGGAGTCTCAGTTCGTACCTCAAAAAATGGGTACAAGTATCCCATTCTCTAAGGTACCTTGGAGGGTCCAGGTACAAATCCTGCTTTCATGGGACCACGAAAACACATGTAAATCCAACCCATCGCACGCCGCCAGGTTCAAGCTCCCCCCCATCCGCATATCGAAGCGCTTCCACGTCTCAACCGGACCCCGGTCTCGAAGCGCCTGTGCCCGTCCCAGTGCAAAGACCGGCAGCAAGCACCTCGCACGCGAACGAGACGAGACGAGTCAGACGGGGGGGGCGAACATCGCAGGCGACCGGGAGGAATGGGACGGAAGGGGGTCGCGCGCGCGTGGCGCCGGACGAGGAGTGTGGTGAGTCTACGGAGTTCGGAGGTTGGCGCACCTATTTGGATGTACTCCACGGATGGAATCAGCCGTGATCTTGGCGCTGTCAGCTGTTGTTGCATGTTTCACGGCACTGCTCTATATAGGAAATCTCATGGAGTTCGACCCAGCACCACGAAAAGGGTGGAGTACAAGTCCACCCTTTTCGTAGACGGTGTATTTTTCCCTCCCATCACCTGCTGGATTTTGCCGTTGGTTCCTTTTGTTCCAGCCCCACTCCAGTGTGATCAGTTGGTTCTCTTTGGTTTTGCACTGCACGGGCGGTGGTTTCCGCATTTGGGGCCAGGCCACCGAAGAAGCTAGAGCCTTTTTCCACCCTCTTTCAGCCCAAACACTGATCTTTTGACCGAAAACCACGGTGCCAACCACAACCGGACTGAACCGATCTCACTCGCCGATCGATTCTTTTCCTCCAGACCACCCCAACTGAGTCAATGTGTGCGGACCCGGTCGTGGTTGGGGTGAGGCATCCAAGAATGGATGATTTCTGAGGGGTGTTGGTTGGTCATTTCAGGTCAAAACCACCAGCTTCACTGCCGTTTTTCCGGCTTCTTTTCTTTTTAGGCAGTTTGCAACCACTCATGCACCTCGTCACAAAGACGGAGTGACAGATGGTAACAAAAGCGATGAGGAAGCACCTCCTTCACAGTCATGTAACTTGAATGAATTGGACAATTCTGGAAAGGGGAAACCCGGGGAAAGAATGCAGCAACAAAACAAGCTAGCTTTCTTGTGACAACTTCCTTTTCTTTCTGTACTTTGCCGTTGCACATCTCGACCTTTCACCATCGACCTTTAGACCTTTCTTCCTTCTCTTCTCGCCTGGTTCCACGTCCCCGAACGACCGACCCACACACACATCATCCGTTGCTTCGTTTCCTCCCTCGGTCCCCATCGGGTCGAACCGGGGGCTCCGTGCTTCCCCCCTTGCCGCACGATCTGGTGCACCGAGTTCGTAAAGCGCTGCTCGCGCTGCTCCTCGTTTCGGATCCAAACGGCAGGTCCGCTGGCGCTTCAAGGCAGGTTCGGGGGGGGTCACGTGGGGAGCCGAAAGAACTCCGTTTCGCCGGTTCCGATCCCGGTCGGTGAACCCCGAAGGAACGAACTTCTTCTCGTGAAACGGTGGGGAAAGCACTCGCTATCCAAAATGGCATCCGCATGCATCCGCAGGCTATCCACTTTTCCTGGGTATGCTCCAATACTCGAAAAGGAGGCACTGCGGGGGACAGCTCGGTTCCCAAAATCTCACCCCCCGCCCGGACGCGTTTGCGTTGCGTTGCTGCCGAGAATCCCTGGGCTCATGGTTCATCACGCCATAGGTGGACCTGGCATCGGTTTGACGCCGATGCTCTGGGTAGGTACGGCCATCGGGGGTATGCGATTCCCCCGAAAAGAAGCCTAATTCTCAGACGCGACCCTGGACCCGAAGCGGAGGATGGAGTTTCTCACCCATCCCTACCTAGAACCCCAGTCCCAACCAGAAACAAATGGTTGTTCCAATATGGCAATTGAAATCCTGAAATCCTGAAGCATAGGAATTGGCTGGGACTGGGAATGTCAACCCATGTGAGGCCTGATATCTCAACCCCCCGAGGCCTGGAGAGGTTCTACCAAGCAAGGACGCTACTAGGAACGGAACAAGGACGGGCATTCGCTATGAGTCCGGAGCGTTCGGACGCTACGAATGGGGGGCTCCTGGCCTTAGTACTATAGGAAGAAGAAGCTGGAGGTAACAAGGTTTTACCATCTAAAGTGTTTCTTTTACTCATTCAAGCGTCTACCATGACCGAGATCGTTCAATCGATGAAGCTATGAAGCCATCATGATGGGCCAAGTGAGGGGGTCAGGTCAACCAGGCGCTCGGACCACAAGGGGAATTTGCCCAGGTTTGGGGAACACTCACAATTATTTGAACATCACCCGGTCAGCAAGGGCAGGGTCCCTTCTTCATCCCCTGATTCGCCCCCCTTTGGGCTCCCCAAAGCAGATGGGCGCACTCGACAATGAGCACGTGGATGCGGACATTGGGGATCTCTGCCTCCAGCAAGGTCATGGCTTTGCTAAGCATGGAAGAATGAGGCATTGCTATTAGGTTGGAGGCCATCGCTATTAGAAACAAGAAAAGAAAGACAGGTCAAACGTCCAACGTCTCAAAGACTTGGATCCATTCATCTGGACCGTTTTGGCCATTTTCTTTTTTTGGGGTGTTCATCTGATCTTCGGTCAGTGAGCGGGTTTCAATCACATCACCATCCTGATCGGTTGTGGAAATGGTTCGGTCTCTACGGTGAGTGGTGGTTCTGATCACAGTTGATGGAAGACCTGGTCTACTCGAAAGAAATCATTCAATCGAAACGATGCGTAAGCACAACCCCAACACAGCAGAATTACATGGTTGTAGCACGTCTGACATATAACCCAAATACCCCATATCCGTCATACATCATATTGGTTCATATTATATATAAATTATATAACAATATATGTTTAGTACAGTTTATGCATGTTTATGCTGTATATTATTGTATTTTGACCCGGGTCAACCACCCCAGCTGATTTATGTCAATATGCCAGTCCCAGACAAGGTAGTGTCTGGGTAGACCGGAGTCGAATCAGTTGACCGTGCGTTGGGGTATTCGGGAGCTTCTGACATTCCGGCCCGGTTGCCTTGAACAAGTCCATTCAGCGTAACTCCGCAGGTAAAAACACAAACACTCTATGTATGGAATAATTGCACGCATTGAGTGGTTTTAGTGTCAATGCACATACATATTCCATACGTACATGAAGTGTTGGGGAAACACATTTGAAGATCTCACCAGCTTTTGAAGCTCCAGGATTTGCTACGCAAAAGGCGCGAACGCGCCGCTCACCTGCGGCAAATGTCGATCCTCTTCTCTGCTATAGTCCCCGGTGTACAAAACACGGATGCCTGGCGCGTGAGTCTTCTCTAAAGCCTCCAGACTATTGGCCTTCAGTAGAGGCTAAAGAGGGTCCAGGCTGCTTCAGGAGACCCTGCAGAAAAGCAAAACACACAGCACAAGAAAAGAACACCCACCAACACCGCCCAAAGGGTGATTGATAGACCCTCCTGATGTACTTTCCATCCAATAACCATCCAAACTGGGTGGTGCTTGGAAATCTATCTTCCTAAGTCCTACCGTCACAAGGAACCGCAAAGAGGTTCCGGACCTTCCTCGCGCGTCGCCGGCGCTTCCTACCGTTGCTGCCGCGTTCGGTGCTTCCGTTGCTTCCGCGTGCTGCTCTCCGTCGCTGCGCCTCCAATGTTGATCATGAACATGGCAGCGCCAAGGACCTCGTGGAGCCGCAGCGCGGTCGCCGGTCGCCCATGGTGACCCGCAGCTGTTCGATTGGTAGGACTTCTGAAGAAAAACCCCGAACTTGGCCAGCAGCGCTGGTTGGGTCGCCCCAAACGGCTGCTGGGGCGTTGGTCCGGCGGAAAGGACGTCCGACATCGTGGTCCGTCCCTGTGACCCGGACGTTTGGCTCTCAGCTCGGCAAAGAGGTCTGGAAAACCCGAGAATGAATGGCATCGCCCCCAAGAATGGGACGAACATCAGCAGTATTATACAGCACCCCACAAACAAAGGGATGAACCCTCGATAGGTCCCAAAACTCCAAAGCTCCCGACGAACACACCGGCTGCTCTCAGTGAAAGAAGGGCCACCGGGCATGGCCGGCGCGGAAGCAGGAGAACTTGATGCCACGGAACTGCCGCTCCTGACGTGCGAAGGAGACATCACCTTCGTCGGACTCGGGAACGGTGGCGCAGCGAAGGGAAGCGAACGATCTCCTTCCGTCTTCCGGTTCCGAAGCGAAGGCGCCACGGACACCGCGCGGAAGCGAAGGGACGCTGGATTGGCTCGCAGGGTGCGGGGGAGTTCGGTCGTTGTTCGGGAGACGCTGTAGGACGTTGCAGGATGTTTTGGGAGACATCGGGTAAGACTGGTAGCAAGAAGCTTCCAAAAGGGAATCGTTTCACCTGTAGTAACAAGAAGCTTTTAGTAGACTAGGGGTAAGGGTGGATTTGCACTGGGATACTCCAAGTGGGTCCATGACAATCTTCGCAGGAAGGCTTCACAACTTTTGTAGCGGGCAGCACAAACTGCGCAGAGATCGAGATGATTTATACATTTCTGCTGTCTCAGTGTTTGTTGGGCAAATGGTGTTGCTCAAAGATCGTCCAGCTTGTCCAACCGCAAGACCACATGTGACTTCAAAACAGTGCGTGGGCTGGACAGTTGCTGTCCTGATTGATCACTCGACATGCACAGGTTCTGGACATCTCACCAAACCAAACATCCTTCAAACAAAGCAGTACCGGATAATACTCGCTAATACGATGATACCAAAGGAGGAGGTCCGGGGAAAGGTCAAGCTGAATTGAGCATCTATAAAGAAGAATCCCTTCAAGGTTGCCTCCGGTTGTTTCTTCATGTTACATCCAACATTGAAGTCCTTCTGCTGTCCTGTCGATATCCTGTCTGCTTTCGAACCCCTGTGATTTCTGATTCTTCCGTTTCCTGTTCATTTACTTTGATCATACAACATTGCCTAAATGTATTCCGGACTAATCCAGAACTGTTTGTGGTTTCCTAGTTAAAATCAAACATTCTACTGTACATACACTCTGAATCAAGAGCTCCCACCCATCATCACAAACAATGCGTAGCAAACAAAAACAAGGAACCACTAAACTAATCAAGGAATCCTCATTGTTGTCAACCGTCAATTCTCATCTATTCAGGAAGACTGCCTCCTAAGAATGCAGTGTTCAAATCTTCTTCTGCCCATTCTTAATCTTGTGGAATGGAATGGATTAGACTGGAAGAAAAGACATTGAGGGTTTAAACAGCCAAACTTGGCATCGCGTTGTGGTCAAACAACACTCGCCGGCATGAACTTCAATGAAGTTCCAAGTTCGACAAACATCGTGTAGACAAAAGACCACCGACTTCTCAGAGTTTCAGAAGTCCAATGGATGATGATCCGATGTTCAGAACAATACATCATGCAACTGGTCTGCCAGATCTTTCCCTCTGGCCCTACGCCCACCGTGCGGTGCCCCCGCGAGGAGAGCTCCTCGCGAACGTCGAACGTCGAACCTGGTCGCCCTCTCCTCGTGATAATCCAGCAATTCGATCTGCTCCACGGTCCTCAAGGGAAAGGGCCCTTTTGGGCCCTTTTGGGCCGCAAAAGGGCCGAAAGGCTTCGTCAACCTCTGGACCTCTGAGTTTGAGTCTTTTGGTCTATCAGTCAAAAATACGGTACCAATAAGGAAACATGATCACATGTTAGAAATCTCAAAAGCTCGCACCTCCACAAATCTCATAAGAATTTGAGGTCATGATCCTGGCATGAACATCAATGGCATGGCACCTCTTTGCTTTGTGACTTGCAACCACTTGCAGGGCTACTGACTACCCTATCCTACCTCAAATGGGTCACGGAGCCACCAGGCTCAGGGATCCAGCTGCCGTTTGAGGAGCTGGATAGCGATGGCAAGAGCCAGCTCGCGGAGGCGAGCAAAGGTTCCCGCGTCCGTTCTTGAAGCGACCCTAAGACTACAAAGAGTGGAGAGGCGGCGATGTTCCAACTTGTTCCAGAAAAAGGTGCAAAAGAAACCACAGCAAAAGAGTCATCCACTCACCTCCAGAAAAACCCACTTCCCCCTCGCTGTGCCATGGAGTCATCTAGGCAGCCCATGGCGAAAAGCCCCAGACGGTCGGAGTCGACAAGACCGGAGTCGCCACGGAGTCGACAAGCCGGAAGCACTCAGACCCTCGTGGAAGGTCATGCATGTCTTGCTCTGGGCCGTTCTGAACGCGAGGAACGAAGCAGAGTTGGAGAAGTTTAGAAGCGTGAGGGTCAACCATCAGGTTGACCTTTCAAATCAGTTCCCTTCACTCATCACTCCCTCAGTTTCCGAAAAAAGAGTGAACAGAACTTTCCATCTGTACAATCTGTACCTGGGGTGTCCCCGTTTTGCAGGTGATCCACCTTTCCTGGGAAGGGCTTCCCGCCCCCAACTCTTGGTCTCCACCCATCCCACGCGGGTAAGTCAACCTCGATCCGCCTCCGCCTCCGGCTCGGACGCCCCGCTTGCCAATGTCTTCACTGCTGAAGATCTGGTCCTCTGAGTCGATTGGTTCGGGTGACGAGGGCAGATTCGAAAGCAGATCGTTCACACGAAGGTGGGAACGTAGATGAGCATGAACGAGCATGAACGGGTCCCACCGTGGGCCCGAAAAAGCGGAGGGAGATGGACATCTGTGGTTGTGACTTTTGATCATCTACTTATAGCTCTGGACTTCGTATGTTCTGGACTTTGAGATACAACATCAAGGCGGCTTGCAATGACCATGGATTCTAAGGCAATCGTTTCCGCGACAGGATGTGGCAAGACATTGGTCATTTCCATATTCTCAAACCCAAATTCATCCTCAAACCTAAAACGTCTTCCTATCTACACTCCGACGCACTAACATGGAAGTGGAACCCCCCCTGTTCGTAAAGGAAAGTAGTCTTCCAAGGGACCATGCCATCCCTTCCATGTTGCACTTTTTCAAGTGTGCACCTTTGAACCAGAGTTCTGTGCTCCCAAAGCTATCTTGGCCCCTAGTTCCTGTCCCTTTTACTTTTGGATCATTCCAACCTCGGCGTAACGCCATTGTGGAAGAAAAGATCTTGGAGGTGATCGGCGGCGGTGTGGGTTCCTACACATGTGATGTGTACGTCAGAGTGTCCAGCTTCGGATGAGTATGAAAATCAACTTCACCAGACTAGTCCTCTGCAGCAATCTTGCTGACCCGTGCATAGTCTTGCCAAAGCCTCGGTTTCCGTCTCAGATGAGACGAAGACTGGTCGACCGGACAAGTCGACACAACTGGAACCCAATTCGTCCCGCAATCAGGTTGTTGCACGAAGGGAGGGAGGAATCCGATTTTGTATATTCCCTCGACGTCAAATTACAATCAAGGGAACGACCCGGCAAGCCGTGCTGTGAAACCCTAGAACGTTGCTCGGGATTCAGGCCATTCATGGTGGGCCGGGAATCGGTTCGGGTATGGTGTTTTTGGTGGTTTGGGTCGTTTCAAGATTTCGAATGACGAACGCAGTCTCTTGGCATCAACCTTTTGATGACATGAGCACTATTTGAGCTTTGGCCTCAGGCCATGGATGCTCGATCACTGATGTGGGGGTGTGTTGAAATAGGGTGACCTGGAAGCAATGAGTAGACGGTAGACTGATCTATGTCTCTTCTCCAGGAGGTCTTTGGGAGGTTTCCTTACGTACGGGAGTGGCTTGCCCCACTCCCACCCCCCGGTGGCTGAGGATGCGAAGCCTTTGCGAAAACTACTCACCCTCGTGCGAGGGAAGAACAGGATCCTTGTGGTCAGGGAAGCTTGAAACGACCGGCTCCAGAGGCACGCCAGCCACGGCTCGGGATCGCTCCGGGTGTTTCACCCACCCGCCGACACCACCCGCCAAGGCACATCTTGCAAATCGGCCGGGTGGGATGGGTCATGAAGACCTTTCCCTTGAATTCCGTCCGACTCACGAAGTACCTCCCAGCCGCGGGTGTCGGAGAAGCTGTCTAGTGGAGGCCATCGAATGAGCCGAGGGCCTTCGAACTGGGAAGGCTTCTGGGCCGAGGGTACCTGCCTTTAACCTGGCGACCTCTGAGCGATGCCCAAAACAAACTTATACGTATGACCTGCAAATGACCCTAGTGTGGAGCCAAAGCCAGAAAGTGAGGATCTTCTTATTTAATGCATGGAGCTCGTCACATAGGGCACCTCCTCATCACTCCTTTTCCTGAGCATCATGGAATCCTTTAATCCGCGGCTCGCTTTTGGAAGAGCATGGAACAAACAATGTCATAGTATCGCATCTACCAGCACCTTCATTCCGGGGTCTCCTGGCTGGAAGCCCCAGCCCACTACTATACGGGACCTCCAGACAGGACACCCCGAATGAAGGTCCAGGTATAAGCTGTAGGAGCTGTAGGAGCAAGAACACTACTAGAAACTCCTGGCCGTACTACTAGGAACCATGTTCGCTACTAACTAGGGGCTCCTGGCATCGCTACCGCTCCCTTCGCGATCGGAGGCTTCTATATGTTGCTTTAGAACAAAAAACTGCGAAAGAAAACCAAACCTCTCACCTTCTGAAAGGCAGCGCGTGGTCTTTTCGGCAGATGTCACCGTGGGGCTTGGCTCGGTGAGAGCGAACGGCTCGCTGACACATCCGAAGAAATTTGAAGGCTTAAAAACGGTCCGAACCGACACACATGCAGATATTATGCATCTTTATTAAAAACAACACGTTTGAGTTCATTTTGAGTATGGGACTGAGACCTCCAAAGACCTCTTGTAGGGTCCAAGTTCCTTCAGCAATGCTAGGCCGCATGAAACCACAACTTGCAAGAATCTATGTCCAAAGTCTTCAAGTTCTCAATGTCTCACAAATGCATTTTCACCCCACGCACCCTGCACCCCGGTGAACTCCGTGATGGGCGCCCCAACGGCACTGCTCCGCTATGGTCCAAGTGGAAATGCGTCACCAGCAAGAGGTCCACCTGTGCATAGCTTTCGTGCGGGGCGAAAGCGGAAAGGATGTGACGGGCCGACGGCTTTCTGGGCGCCTCCTGCGGGTTGATGTGATCAAAGTAGGGCAAGCAGCTCATGCCGCTGTGCGCAGGGTGAACCCCGCAGTCAAACATCACCACCTGCCACGTGCTTCCACGTACATCCGGCTTTGCAAGGAATAAATCACTCCCTGACCATGTAACGGACTAGTCGCTAAGAATGGAAAACCATGTTTAAACAACAAAACATCTGCGCTCCTGCCTTGCCGCGAAAGCGCACAATGCAGCAGGAGCGGCCCACCTGTCATCAAGCAGACCTTCACAAACACAGTGGGTTGCTCTTCAACTGAAGCCACTCCCCAAAACTATAAGCTTTTCACCCAAGCACGACAACATTGAGAATTGCACCCATGGAAAAGACTCCTATAGCCCATCTCCCAGGTTGCCAAGAGCGCCACGGGTTTCCACATCTAATTGCATGCGACTTTGGATGCCCATGTCCTCCAACAGGGCAAGCTCGCTCTACTTGCAAGAGGCTTGCGGCGTCTTGAATCATTCTAGTCTCTAGACCCTTCCCATCTCCCATCACATCAGAAATTCGTTTTATGTTTGGGCCCTGAGACTATCCATGAACACTTGGTGGAAACTATCACTTTCTTTACCTCCACGCTCCGCTTGGCCTCTGCACCAGCGCCCAACGGGGTAATCTCCAAAACGTCCCCATCCACCTGGCGGTCGGGCCTTGGCGGTCCTCACCACGTTCGGCCCGGTTCGGAACAAGTGGTCTGTGAACCACCCTGACCCCCAAGCAGATTTAAGAGCCTGCATCCCGAAAAACCATTGCTCTCCACCTGCCAGGTGAGGGTTGTGAGATTTTATCAAAGCTCTCCTCGCCTTTTTCTCCGCCAGTACCTGATCGCAGTGGGCAGCACCGGACCTCAACCGGGCACCGCCGGATGTCAACCGCAAGCGTCAGTCCGGTGGGCACCACCGGGCCTCAACTGCGAGTGTTAGAGTGGGCACCGTGAGCCAGATAGAAAGGAGGTCAAAGCCGGTGGCTCTGCAGCTGCAGCCTATGCCCGAGTGAAAGCCCAGCAATTGAACGCTGGCGACCGGTGCCGAGGACACGGGGTCCGCTTTCAACCTTGGTCTTGGAGACCACTGGTGCCTTTGACGCTGCCAGCGGCCAGGTTTTTCTACACTTGGCTCGAGCCGTTGCCGCTCGGGTGGGAGCGGAGGCCTCTGAGCTGCATGGGCACTTGCTTCAAGAACTGTGCATCACCGTGCCTTCCGTGCTCGTGCGGCGCAAGGCTTGCACCGAGTGGAGCTGGGCAAGGAGACCTGGTCCGTGCCTCAGCCGCCGCTGCTGTGCTCGGCACTTCGGCTTCTACGTCCTGAGTGCTGGGCCTAAATGGTGCCACAGTGTGCCCGTGCTTTTCGCATTGTAGCTGCGGTTTGGCCAAGCCACCTCTCTACATGCACCGCGGCGGCTGCAGTTCCTGTTCTCTGCTTTCCTTTGGGGGCTCAACCGGCGGTGCAAAATACGCCGTTGGCGTGCGGCCGGGACGCGTTGGTCCTTCGATGCCTGCCTCGGTCCGCCGACCCCGGACGGGCACCGTGCCGTCCTTTTTGGTCCGTGGCCCGCGGGGGCGGCCACCGTGGCCCACCCCCCTTTCGTCGAGAGGGTCGATATATAGAGATCCGTACCTCAGAACATACCTTTGAAGCCATGCACTGGTAGTATCGAGCTTTTTGGCCATCGAACATTGCAACATAGAATGCCCGAATATATGCCAGATAGAATGCCATAATGTATGCTAGATAGAATGCCATGATATATGCCAGTGTATATGCAAGACGAACACTTTCTTGGTGATGTTGAAGCAATATAGCCGTCGGTGATCAGCAGAGTATAATGCCATGGTGGGTATCACTCGAAGCAAAGTAACTTTGCTCAGGATTTTACACTACACACACACCCAGCTCAACCGAACTCCTTTAAATGGTCGAATGAAAGGTTCAGGTGTGAATCACAATCACCCTAAGAATTCGGACCCAACCCAATGCGAAGGGTTTTCGGGTCCGGACCCCGGCTCAAGGATTCTGAGGGGCCCAACACCCCGAAAACTGGCAACCATGAAGGTCTCGGGCACAAAACCACTCAGGGTGCTGGTGATTAATCTCAAGGGGAAAAAAGCTACTCCCAGGGTGTCTCCCTATTCAAACGAAGAGCAAATACGCCGGAATTCATTAGATTAAAACACATCTTAAAGCTATCCAATTCATCCCAAAACAAGAAACAACACATAACAACCACCAATTCGCTCCTTTGACGTCGGTCGCCCCGCCGAACGAAACGAATTGCCTCGATGCGCCGCGTCGTCCCCGCAGTGATGGCTGGAACGCTCATGGCGATGGGTCGGCTGGGCTTCACGGCTCCGCGGCACTTTTGACTGAGAAGAGTTCCAACACCCTCTTAGATGTTGGGCTTTTTTTTCACCAAGGGCATGGCTACGAGTCGCGAACGACGAGTCACTCGAGCGATCGGGCGTGACGAAGCACCTCTCACTACGTCCCTAAAACCAAAGCTCGCCACAGCTAGTGTAGAGTAGTTTGGTCAGGAGACGTGGTATACGAAAGGTGCTACGATCGCCTCAGTGAAGCAATGGAAGTAGTCCGACCGTCTGCGTCCAGTCGACGGGATTTCCCGGTTTCACCGGTCCGACCGGATCCATTGCTAGTGCGAGGCCATTGCTAGGTTTCCCCCTTTTTCGGCGAACTGTCAAACTCCATGCGGTTTGAGCCTGATGCGGCATCCGCTGCAGAAGCTGTACTGTCCGAGCGATAGAGACAGCATCCTTGGGTGGGCCATGGTGGAATGAGCTCTTGCTTGCAAAAGCGATATGAGTCCAACACCCCAAGACTCATTGCTTCTTGGCAAGTTCATTTTGGTCTTGAGGGTCAAGACATTTATCATACACTCATTGATGTTGTAGTACAAACCCTTTCTCATTCTTAGTACTTTGCTAGCCAACATATGCAATACAAATAGTAGGGTGAAACCTGGAAGTGACATCTTATTTGTTGGTGGACTTGACTGTGACATCTCTTTCTTACCTTCAAATCCAATAGAGTTGTATCTTAGTGCACACATCATGTTCCATGTTTACCTTCTTTCTAAACCCAACACATGGATTCTTTGAAATGGCCCGGTTCATGTGGTAACCCCCGGATGTGGCCCGGTGCGAGACCAGATGCCTGTCCCGACCCTTCGACCGTTGGTCCAGCTAGCACTTCTTTGCTCCCTCCGTGCGCCCACGCCAGTCTTCCCACGCCCACGCCGGTCTGAAAGCTTTGAATTCCTCCACAAAGGACCCTGGCCACACTGAAAAGCGACCCGTCCGGGCAAGTTCTGTGGTTCTTTCCATCTATGACCATCTATGAAGTATTGTTACGCATTTGGGCCCATTACCGGGGCCCGTTTCGGATGATGATCGGGCCTGGTTGCAGGTGATTTCTCAAAAATAGTGATCATCCTTTAAACACTGGTGACCCCAATGTATTGCATTGTCAACCTCTTGATTCAACTGGCTAAGTCCGGACGTTCTGTCAGGCGACCTTCGGTTCGGGGCCTTTTCGTCGAAGCACCGACCAACAGCCCCAAGACGCTCAACAAGAGGCAAGGAAGCCCCACCGGTTGGGCCATGCTGGGCCATGCAGCTCGTTCGAATTCACGCCAAGCTCAGGACATCCTGGCGCATCGGCCCATCGGTTGCATCGATTCGCTCTCTCGGTCTGCTCCTGCATGCTTTTGGAATTGGAAGAGAAGGATCTTACCCTGAGAGTCCAGGAAAGGACTCGTTTTGCCTGGTAGTCCAGGAAAGGGGCCTGCAGGTGAAACAACATGAGTCCAAACGGAAGTTTTGGATCAAGGTTTTCCATGGATTCCAATCACCATTGCTTGAAACGGTTTTACTAGCTCAATCACCGATCACCCGTGTTCGATGTGGGGAAACACCAGCAGCAGGGTGCCTGCCTTAGAAGGGCCAGGAGCTCCCAGAGTCCAATCTACGTCGCCATCCCACCGCCTCTCACCCTTCGTCGGAACCACGGGGAGCGAGGTCGCGAGGTCGCGAGGGAGGTCGCTGTGCGGTGCGGTGCGGTCGGTCCACGGTGGCCTCGGTCGCAGCGTTTGGCAAGTCTCTCGGCATCGCTCCACCTGGCAAAAAAGAAAGACACCAAAGCCACAGACTACGAACCTGTGAAGAGATGGACTCTTGGATTGGCCAAAAAGGAGCCGGGAAGCTTCCAAAGGGGAATCAATGGTAAAATCCAAATCACCTTAAGCAAAAACACAGTAACGCTTCCTTCACACTCTTTCTCCCAAGTAGTTTTGGAATTCGTCAATTGCTGATCGCCAAGGGTGGAATGTCGCGTTTCAACACGTCCGCGAAGATGAGACAAGAGCTGAAGCTACGAAGCAGACCGTTTTGGGACCAGTCTCACCCTAGGATTCCTGGACCACCATGGACTAAGCATGGTTTTACCAAAAATTCTACACTACAAAGCCACGCCAACAAGGGTTGAATGGAAAGGCGACCTCCACTGGGGTCTGCAGAAGAAGTCGGTTTCACCGGAGAGAGTGAGAAGAGAAGTGCCAAGAGGAAGCCAAGCCGTTGGGAAGTGATTTGGATGGACATACTTCCCTCCCCTAAGAATCCGGACCCTCAAACACATTGGGTTTTGAGGGTCCGGACCCCGGCTATGGAGGGTCCGACCCCTGCCATGGAGAGCCCAAGGATTCTTAGGGTCATTAAATTATATGTTGGAGTCTGTGACAACGTTGTGGACATCCTAAGTTGGCTGTCTGATCTGTCCATCGATTGGCTTCTGAACGTTGGAGAAGATTTGCTTTCGAGTCTCACACAAGCAGGGTCAAGTGGCCAAGCAAAGCCCCACGCACCCCAACACTCCATGGGACTTGAATATACCTACCTGGAGTCTCCAGCAGGTCACCAATTGAAACCTGTTAGGGCCCGGCCCAACCCTCCATGTCGGAGACCTGGAGTCTCCAGTTACCTCAGACCGTTGGGTACTGTCGCTGCTTTCTATTCATGTCGTCCCATTCGGGTCCAGTGTCGGGTCCAGTCACCCAACAGTTCACCGTTTGGGTCCAGCGACGAACGGGGCGCGCTCTTCTGGCCTTACTAGTAACAAGAAGCTTCTATAATTCAGCCCGTTCCCTTTCCACTGGCCACTCCCGTTGTGGATCTTTCGCCGTCGGATTCTCCGATGGGTCTCCCCGTCGGCGTCGGAAGCGTAAGATCTGCGCCTCCTTCAACAAGATCTGCGCGCGGAAGCGCAAACCCTGCCGGTCGAGAAACCCAAAGCAGCGTTCGGACGCTACTTGGTGGCCATCGCTCTTAGGTTGGAGGGCCATTACTACTAGTAACAAGGTTCGCTACGAACGGGGCTCCTGGCCTTACTACGTACTAGGAGCAAGTAGCTACTATAGTAACAAGAAGCTACGAACGTAGCTAGAAGCTATTGGGCTTGGAGGCCATCGCTCCATCGCTACGAACGGAACGTTGGACGCTACGAACGTCGCTGCAGCGAGGAACCCCGCGTGTTTGGAGCTTCGGAGCATCGTTGTGGTCGACGTGGAGGTGAGACCTGGCGAAGTAGCCTTCGAAGGCCTTCCAATGCCTTCAGAGAAGAATTCGCCTGTGAAGTCACATGTCCAGACACGACCTGTTTGGGACTGCCAGGCCGGACGACCGATCAATTGACCCCCCCCAAAACCACCACCCCGATCGGCCGGAACTGGCAGTCCGTCCTGGCAGTCCCAGCGGTCGGTCGTGTCTGGGACTTGGTCCTTCAAACACCGTTGACTGCCGTCGACCGCCATCGACCGCTGGAATGGGATCTCTGCGACCTGCAAACCGCGACCCGAGGACCGACGGACCCACGGACCGAAGTGGACCTGAGAACGGTTCCAGCGTGGAAGAGACCGCTGCGAAATCCCAAAAACACGGTGGGACTCACCTTTTGGTTATATGATCTCATATGATGTCATATGAGATTTGGTCCGGGAGATCGCAAAGAAAAGAACAACTCTGGTCTCATCTGGTCTCCCGGAGCAAATCTCCCACCAGAAATCCTGTTGCATGGCCTGCTGAGCATCGCCCTCAGTGCACCTGACCGGCTCACGAGTGAGGCGGGTTCACGACCATCGTTGACTCACGGCAAATGGATCTTGATATGGGGATACGAACGGAGCGATTGGACGCTACTACACGGGGCTCCTGGCCTTACGAACGGAGCGATCGGGATCTTCGGGCCGGTCGCACGACCAGTCCACCAGTCCCATCGCCACCGGTCGGTCCGGTGTGCGGACCGATGGGTCGCACAGTGCCGGTGCAGTCGGGTCCTCAGTGCGTCAGTCGGGTCCTCAGGTACTCAAAGAAAGTGAGAGTTTTGTTAAAAATTCATTGAACTCTCTGAACTCTCTGATGGTTCTCACTCTTCTCTCGTTCGGTCTATGGTTTGGCTTGGAACCACACCACACATCGTGCTATCTGGATCCACTGGCTTTGTGCGAAAAGGACTTCTTACTGCTTGTCACGGCGCAGAAAGAGCCCCCCCAAATACATGGGTTCTTTGTAACAGGAAGCAGGGTCCTCTGGTGATTTTCATGCGGCCAAAAACTGATGTGTGACCATCCTGTCCTCACCTCCGTCCTCCCTCCGGTTCACACTGAACCCGGTGTTTGCGTGGTCTGTGCCGACCTGTTTGTGAAACCACCGAAGGGGGTTTCGCTGCTAAGACCACTGGGTACTTGGAGGGTCCAGCTTCACAAGAAACCAACTGACCGCAGTCGTCCTTCACCGTAGCGCAGTCGTAGGTTTTTGAAGGCGTGGCCTCCGCTTCTGAAGCTTCGTCTCCAGCAAGTGACCCATCTGGCGGGTGGGCAGAAGTGGATCATTTCACTCCAAATCTTCTATGATGATAGTGAGAACAGATCATAGGGCGATGTTCTGATATTCTGGAGGAATCTTCGGGGAAGATGTGTTTTGCACACTCCCTGGAATCGATATCGGCCAACGGCGAGAGTGACAATGCCACCGTCGATCCGATGATCTGTTTCCGTCCATGAAGCACTAGCCTGAACGGTGCATTTTTGAGAGATCCGGGTGATGTGGCGTGAACATCAGAAGACTCAAAATCCGGCATTGATCAAGTGTTTCTCTTCCACTGTGGATGGTATCCTCTTTTTAGAACCACTACTACTGTTGGAGCAGCTCGTTTGATGTTGGAAGGGAACTGGACATATAGAGCACCACCGGATTCTGTAAACCACCATTCGGTGGTGTTCTGTGGAGGCTTGGCTTGTGCCCCACAGCAAGCCATAAGGCTCCTGCGGTTTGCTCACGCCCTATAGCTGCTCCTTTTTGTCGCTCCAAACACAAACGATGCTAGTAGCTTCTTGCTCCTAGTAGTACTGCATGGCTTAAAGAAATCATCCCATGACAGGACATTCCTGTTGCCGTTCAGATCATCCAAGGCACACATTTGACAACAAGAAAACAAGGCACACAGTGACACACCATCGTTCTCCCGGCCTGTTGGCCCTTTTTGGGCAAACCCAGGGCGAAATCACCTGTCCTTTGTTTCTGTATGTATCTTTTTCTGGCCGTCATCCTATTGAAAAAACCCTCTGGCTACATTCGGCTGATCTCTTTTGGTACATCTTGTCAACATGTTTCCTTTCTTTCTTTGGAGCGTTCGAACGCTACCGTAGATAGATTCCAAGATCAACGAAGCTCACCCAAAGGGCCATCGCGACACGAGTCCCGTTATCGGTCGACTCCCAAACCCGATGACGGGTCTGGACCGCGGTCCTTGGACTGAGTCGGTCGCGTCCCGGGCTTCGGGCGCCGCTCCCGGTAAGGCCGGTTGGAGCGCCGAACGCGTCACGGTTGGGCGTCCGTTCGTAAGGCGAACCAGTGTGGGCGCATGGGGAGCGTCCAACTGCAGTGATCGGGATCAACGCCTTCTGTCGGGGTGCTTTCTCCGCTTCACGAGGTGCGCTTCAGTACCACGTAGCCGGAGGAGTTGCCTGAGGGATGTCGTTTGGCAAACAAGTGGAAAAAGACATACATTTTTTCCAGAAGGGGATTTACCCATACCGTTTTGGTCACCCCACTTCCCCAAAGATGGATCATTTCAACATGGAGCAAACTTATCGCTCTTGGGGGGGTACCAGGTAGGGAAACGACTTGCCCTAAGCAACACCCAGGTTCTTGGCAAGCTGTTGAGCTGATGTTTTTGAACGAAGTCCAATAGCTGATCAAGCCTGAAGGTCATGAACGCAAAAAAAGATGGTGACACCGAACTGGACACCGAACACTTCTTACGCCATGTCTACTAGCAATGGTCAGAAACGTAGTAGCGATGGCCTCCAACCTATCTTCGTTTCTTTTTCTTCCATCCTATGGTCAGTAGTAAGAAGCACATGACTTCGAAGATGAACAGTGTGATGACTGAGCGCCATGTATCCGCCACAAGGACACTGTCCATTCACCGTGATGACTTAGTCTCTTCAAACCAGGCGGCGGGAAGGCGCCCGCCGTGGCACAGATTGTGGCACGGTTCCGTGAGACATGGGGAGGTCAACCCAATACGTGACACGCACGGACACGTACGGCGCTACGGTACGGTACCAGCCACTACGTTCCAAAGGAGCTTTTCTTTTTTTGCCCCCCGAGAGCTGCAAGCGGTTTTGGTTTTGGGATTCCGGGGTTTTCCTTTGGATCCCCAGAAATTCCCCAATCGAACCTACGGGGTTCTCCCAATGTCCTCATGCAGGAGCTCTTCTGTTGGGATCGCCTTTGGCCCCTCGAGACATCGGAGGGACCAGCGGTGCGAGCGCGCGGTGCCTGCCATCCACGGATGTCTCACCAGTCCAGGGATGAATCGAGTGTGGCTTTTTCTATCCGAAGAAGAATGCCCAGCACCAGCCAGTTTGGGTGCTGATCTCTTGTATCGTGTCGAGTCTCTCCACCCTGGTCCCAACGCGGCGGGGCCTGTGACTTCCTCCACTCCACCTGGAGTCCGTTTCGCACTCCGAGGATCCGGGAGGAATTGGATGAATTGGAGGAATTGGATAAAACAACAAATATAATAAATAAAATAGACTTGGAGTAACAATAATTGGAATTGGGATTGTTGTTACTACTAGTAAGGCAGTTGTTACTAGAAGCGATGCACTTGTTCCTAGTAGCTGGGAGGAATACACCAGGGATGAATGGGAGGAATCTGAAGATGGAGTCTGCAGGACTTCTACGAACAGCAACAAGTTGGGCAGGAATCGACGATCGTCACCAAGGGCATCGCGACACGAGTCCGGAGCGAGGACGGGACGCGAACCGAACGGGGCATCTCCTGGCATTACTCGTAGCAAAGATGCTACGAAAGGTAACAAAGCCTTCCCCTAGACTTCCAAGACCATTAAAACAATGGTTGACCTGGTTGTTGTAGTGTAAAATCCTTAGTTGATTCGCTAAAACCTATTTAATTAATGGTTGTTGGAAGCCTAGGGCTTCAGTTCGTGACCTGTCGGACCCCCTTTAAAGGCCCGACAGGCTCCATCGAACGACCGTGCTGAATGGACCACCGCCGGGAACGACAGCTGAGACCAAGAAAAAGATGTTCAATCATCCGGTTGGAGCTAAGATTTGTTGAACGAGCCGCTGGCTGCTTCAGAAGCTTGCAAAACAAAGGTTGAACAACGCTACCTGACTCCTTCAGCTTCCCTCAATTCAAGGTTAAACTTTGTCTGCGTGTTCTTATTGAGTGGGGTGTCCCCACTATTCCCCCAAAACGGTGACGGGCAGGTTTAAATCCACCTTCTTCCTGCCGGGTAGAACAATCGCGTGATTTCCTCGAAAGCCAGGCGACTCTTGAGCTCTTCCTCCACCACGTCCGGAAGATGACCCACAAAGCCCACAGGGATCACCTCGCCTGACGCCTTATGAACGAATTGACCTGGGAGGCGGTCGGTGCTTTCATTGGATGAGCGAATGAGCGCATGTCGGCTGATCCGGCTCGAATGGGCAGAATCGGCTCGAATGGGGGACACACGGGTCAGAATGACATGATGGCTACAAGTGAGACATCAAGGACCAGCTGCGGAACAAGGACGAAGAAAGGCACAGGCGCTGCGGATCTTCGACAGTGCACAGGACCAGTTGACTCGTTGGCTCCCACGGGGTCGCGGGGTCAAAGCCGTCGGGTGGACACCCCACGTCGACGAGTGAAAGAACACGTCCCAAGAGCTGAACAAAAACCACGCACATGTCGTTCGCATGGCGAACCAATGCAATCACCATCCGGATTTGCGAACTGGTCTCCAGGTTTGAAGATTGGATTTTATCCACCAAAAAAGGAGGAACAGAACACATCTTCCGGTTTCCAACACCAAGCCCCGTTTCTGGGTCGTACGTTCCATCACACCTTCCCACCTTCCCATTCGCCGAGGCCACCCCACAGGTTGGGCTTGGGTAGCGCGGTCACGCCCAGCACTCCGGACTCGAGCTGCTCCTGCAGGCTTTCCAGGGAGCGCCCGGTGCCGTAGTCGTCGATGACGCCCCAGATCACCAGCCCACCTGGACCGGGGTAGTCGGAGCCGGTGGATATCGGTGGATGACCGGACGTGGGACGTGGGGTTTGGGACCCCAAGGTCCAAATGGTAAGGAAAAGGAAAGGTGAACCGCCTGTAGGGAATTGACCGCCGTGTCTGAGCCGGATCTGGGGTTTTCTTCCAGAGGATCCTGGAAGAAACATGGAACAAAGAGACACCCGGTGCTGAATTCGACCACCAGTGCTTTCATCCCAAACCGTGTGACCACACGGTTTGGGGAAAAAACCAGCCGCTTCAGGTCGAGTCCACCCAGTTCGTTGAGGTCGTCCATGGAGTCGGACGGGTGATTCCAACCCGTTGGGGAGGTCGGACATGGAGTCCTTTTCGGTGGTGTTGAAGCGGTTTTTCATGAGTCATGAGGGTGGCCGCGGACCGTGGCCGCGGACCCTACCAACATGCGTTTTGGCCGCGGACCCTACACAGATCCAAATGGGAACGACCTGGTGTCATGGTGGCTTCGGTTTTTTAAGCAAAGAATCCCTATGGTTCTTCCGTTGATCAGGTTTGCTCCATTCGCCCCAAACAGGCGAACTTCAATAACTTCAATGCCTGAAGGCGTGGGCCACGTGCCAGCTCACCGCGTGGCCGACATCGATCCCTGGGAACTCAGACTCATCCAAGACACCGTTTTCTTTCGAACCGAAACGTGAAACCGTGAAAGGTGTCCCGGTCACCGGTGTCCCACTTCTCAGAGGTGACCGGGAGGTTGGGATTAACCACACTTCTGTCTTCAACAAGATGAAGCGACAGTCAAGTCTTCGTCTTGCATTCCCAGCCATAAAACAGGGCCCCACGTCGACTCGGTTGTCCTCGAATTCCCGGTCTTGAATTCCTGGGCGCAATCGCGCCTTGTTTGGTTGGAGGGCCACTTTGCTAGTCTTTAGCTTGGAGGCCAATGCATGCCAATGCTATTCTAGTAGCTCCAAAACCGTTTGATGCTTGATGATGTCACATGTAAAATAACATGAAAACAGAAGATTCTAGTAGCTCCATTCGAAAACCACATCCCCCATGTCGGACCCGACCAACCGCTGACTCCCGGGCGAAGTGGTCCCCACCGAGCCGCCATCGTTCTTGAGGGCACTGAAATTGGTGTAGGTAGCACTGATGGATTCCACACCACCTGGACCAAGCAGAACGATCTAGCACAACCTCTTTGGAACGGTCGATCCAAGCACATGTTCCTACTTGACCTTAAATCCATTCCCAGCTATGAGACTTGCCGGGGGTTGCTGAGTCTCTCTTAAGTGGTCTGACCAGTTTCGTTGGATGCCAATTCCTTAGAACGGCTGCAGGTTGTGTTGATTGCACCTGGCCACTCCCCATGTACTCTGGACATTTCTGGACTATCTGCCTTTGCACGTGCAGTTTGTGTTTGTAAGAACCAATACCCTGTCACACTCCATGCATGTCACACTTGCCTACATTGGGCAGGTCTCTGGTCCCAATAAAGACATAAAAAAGCGACTGCAACTTCCCTCTGTGACGTTCGTAGCTTCTTGTTCCGTTCGTAGCGATGGCCTCCACCGAGCATAGCGTCCGAACGCTACTGGATATGAACCTGTTGGTATCTTCCAATCGATCGTGTGATCATTGAGGCTTGGCCCATCCCGCCAAGCTCACCTACGGTCCATCGGTTTCACCCTTCTCCAGGAAGTGGACACAGCTGAGTTTCGAACAGCAGAGGATCCAATCGAACATCCCTAAGGATCCGGACCTTAAGGGTTTGGTGAAAGAGGCCCCAAACCTCTGTGAAAAAGAGGCTTCGACCCTTGCAATGGAAGGGGTCCGTCCGGATCCATTCGAACCAAGCCAGTGGTTTTGGGGGGTCCATGTTGATCTGCAGGAGTGGACGCTCCCTGAAATCAGGAAGTGGAAAAGAGGGCCGACTGGGAAGAACCTCTTTAAACGACCAACAGGCCAACAGGTGGGGAACTCCACTTCCATGTTCATGACTTGGCGAGTGGAATGTTTCATGCTTCACTCGGCTAAGCTTTCGCCCAACTATCATCTAGCTCCCAACAGGCAAAGCAATTGAAGAACAACAAGTGCGGGTGTCTTTTTTCATGTCTCAAGGGCCCCTCTTCTTGGCCAGTTTCTTCCAGAATCTGATCGTCACATCCAGGACATCATTCAAACCTCCGTTCAAAGGGCCAGTTTCTTCCAGAATCCTGGACAACTTTTGACTTTGCTGTCCAGGAAGCCGGGAAACAAGCATGATATATTTGGTTCCCTACCGTCGCCGGGATTCATCTCAAACCGCCGAGAACACCATGAAGATCCAGGATCCAACGCACAACGTGGGTGGCCCAGTGGCTCTTGAGCTGTTCCTTGAGCTCGTCGCTTTGATGTGCTCCATCCTAAGCGCAGTGGCTCGCAAGAGCACCCGCAGCGACGCAGCATCTTTTGACGTGAGCGGAAAAAACGGTCGACCGGTGGTCTCTTCGTGAACAGATAAAAAGGGTACCATTTGTTGCTACAAAGAACATCGATGCCCTTCGTCCCTTTTGTTGCTACGTCCGTCAGGTACGTCCCGGCGCGCCGAGCGGAGCGGTTTCACGTCGAAAGGCCGAAGAACTCGGGCAAACGACGGTGGGGGACAGACCGGCTGGGCCCATCGGCTCGGGGGACTCTTTGATGCCGGCTGAAGCAGGGGGCTTGTCTTCTGCGCTTTTCGGGCGGAACTTGCACGATACATCCAAGAGATGACAAGAAGAAGACGATGAACGTTTTAAAAGCAATTCATGATGCCCTACAGGTCAAAGACCTCATTTGACTGGATCCGGTCATGCAAAGCCAGTACTCAATGAAGTCAAGGACCAGGTTAAACTTGGCCTTTGGACTTGTAGGGATGGAATATCAACAACACCTTCACAACTCAACCGCCTGGCTACGACCAGGGGCTCCGGACCCCCTCCAAGCTAATACGGGAAGCCTGGCAGGCCAGCCTCTAAGATCGGCAGTGCAACCGCCAGGCCCCGAAGGTGCGCCAGGCTGTGGCAACCGGTAAGTGATGTAGATGGTCAAGACATGGGTATGTATCAGCATGTGGAGAAATTGGAACGGCACCCTGGCAAAAGGAAACGTCCCCAAACCATCCTGGGGTCATCTAATTCCAACGCCCATGGCAGGTAGATCGTGGTTTCTCCCATTACCCGTAAGAGTGGATGGTGAGAGGCATTTCGCGGCATTTCTCCCACAAAAACCGGACGGACAGACTCCAGACAGACTCTTGGAACACAGCAGAAAGTCATGTCCCCCAAAAGCTACAACAAGAAGCTAGTAGTAACAAAGTGCCACGCTAGTAGTAACAAGTGCCTTACTAGTAGTAACAAGAAGCTATTAATTTACTTTAAATTTAATTCTAATAGCTTTTTGTTACTACTAGCGTGGCACCTGTTACTACTAGCGTGGCACCTGTTACTACTAGTAACAAGTCAGCGTCCCTTGTTCCGTTCGTCACGACCGACGCGACGACCGCGTCGCCCAGACACGACGGCCATGCCCCAGGTGACCACTTCGCCCGTCTCCTGGAGTCGGGTCGTAAAGAGGACCAGTTCGGAGCCAGAATGAACACCAACACCACTAAAACACACATATATATATATACATACACCCTGGAAGTTGAACCACCAGGCTTCAGCTAGTGTTTAGTGAAGAAGGCAAAGAGTCATTCAACCCTGAGGATCCGCACCCTCAAAAACAAGGGTTTTGAGGGTACACACCCTTGTTATAGAGGGTTCAACCCCTTCTAAGGAGGGTCCAAGGATCCTTAGGGTATATATATATCTATTTTTTGGTAGTTGTTCGAGAGAATCATGAAAACCAGACTGATACGCGTTTTTTGAGGCTGGAATGCGCAAGGGGATATATGAAACTGCTGATCATTCTTCCGTTGGAAAGAGGTGTTTCGGGAACCTTAGGCGATGCTGAAGATTGTGAATGTCCATTTGCGTTGCTATTTCCCCAATAGCCATGCTATGGGGTCTTGCAAAACTAATAGGCGGACGGGCGCCGTCGGGTCACCGTCAGAGCTGGTGGGCGGATGGTGTCCCGGTCATGTTTTGATGGCGTCCGGGTCATGTGATGCTGGTGTCCCGGTCATGTTTTGATGGTGTCCCGATCATGTGATGGTGGCGCGGTCATGTTTTGATTGTGTCCCAGTCATGTTGTGATGGTGTCCCGGTCGTGCTTTGATGGTGTCCCGGTCATGTGATGGTGTCCCGGTCATGTTGTGATGGTGTCCCGATCATGTGATGGTGTCCCGGTCATGTTTTGATGGTGTCCCGGTCATGTTGTGATGGTGTCCCGGTCATGTTTTGATGGTGTCCTGGTCATGTTTTGGCGGTGTGCCGGTTATGTTTTGATTGTGTCCGGGTCATGTGACGGTGTCCCGGTCATGTTGTGATAGTGTCCCGGTCATGTTGTGATGGTGTCCCCGTCATGTCATGCTGGTGTCC